TTTGTGGGCTTTGTGGTACTTGATTTATAAGACATACTTTAGTTTTCAAAAACTTTATATTAAGGTTAAAATTTGAAAAAATGTTTTGTATATAGCCGGTTTGGCTCTAAAACCGAATAAAATGTGGAAAAAAAAACCTTTATTATTCAAAAATATTAACAAAATAAATAAAAACAGAACAAATTTTAGTAGTAGTATGGACATATCTAAGCCACATGCTCATCATCATTATTATTTATTGGGTTTGCTATAAAAACGTGGATTTGGCCGGTTTTGCTCCTATTAGTGGCGTAGCGACAGTACCGCGAACGCCCGCCACCGCGGGGGGCCCTAGCCTTGTGGGGGCACGGCCTATATTTGCCCCAAAACATTAAAAAACTTATTTCCATTGTATTATCAGCAAAACAAAAAATGTGACGCGACGCTTAAAAATTATGGCAACATTGTAAGATTGCTTAGATTGCTAGTTATCTTCGTTTGTTATAAAAATATGTTATTATTTTTCTATTATTTTAGTAGAACGACAAAATTTAAATTATTTTCTCAAGATTACAGCTTTTGAAAATAGACTTAAAAAATGATACCCGTGTCTCGGCGTGTTTTCAGATCACGGCTTCAATAACAGCTAAATGTATAGTTTTTGAAAATTTTTATTTAATGAATAAATTTTATTTAAAAAAAAATCAAAAATTAAATTTTTTTTGTTTTTATTTATAGAATTTTGTTTTATTTAAAAAAAAATGTTTAAGTATAATTTCTCTATTATTTAAAACATTCAATATTTGAAAAAATAATTTATAACAAAATAACAAATTAAATATATGTATATGTTAAAATAATAAGAATGGCTGTATAAAAAATTTTATTGCCGAGATTTCGTAAAACGGTAAGTCACAGACATGTTTTTTTAACCTATATTTTAAAATCTGTTAAATTTTTTCATGGGAGGTAAATCGTGTTGAACAGTGGAGAACCTTATTTAAAAAAAAATTCTTTCGCATTTTGTAAAAATGTTATTTTTCGTTTACAAATATTTTTTTTAATAAATAATAATAATAATAAATAAAAATAATAATTTTTATTTTCAATATAAAAACTTGTAAAAAATATGTGAAATCAGGGGGCCCGGTAAAGATTTTTGCGGGGGGGGGGGCAAAATTTGTCGCTACGCCAGTGGCTCCTAAAACTACCTTTTAAATGTGATTTTAACATGGACATAGTCGGATTTAAACAGAATTATCTTGGTTGTCGATAGAAATGAACCCAAAGATGCGAAATCAGAAAAAAAAACAAAACCTTAATAAAATGGATTTAGCGGTTTTGCACGGATGCTCCAAACTTGTCCTTGATGTGATCACTAAGTACATGATTCTTGTACAATATAGAAATCCGTTGGCGCATTTCTCAAGTTATAACTGGTGAAATTTGTAACAGAAGTGTGATTTATTTCAATTAAAAAATTAAATATTTAAGCAGGTAACTGTATACATAAATATGTAACCAGTTTTTTTTTTATAATATAAGTTATGTTCGGCTAAAAAACCTATGCTCAGCTTAAAAAGACTATTTAAAAAGATATGTCGGGCCTAATATAGCGCCAAGTCTGGCTTTTATATTTTAGGGTCTGGCAAGCCTATTAAATTAAGATTAAATGTTAATAAAAATTTATTTTTTAACTGCATTCTGATGGAATTCATTAAAAGTAAAAATTTCAGTTAATTCATAAAAAAAATTATTCAATTTAATTAAAGAGTTAAATCATTTAGAACAGCGGTTCTCAAACTTTTTTTTTCGCGTACCATTCATGTGCAATGTGGATTAATCGAGTACCGCCGAACTAAATAAAACAAGTTGTGCTGCGTGTACGTATTTATTGAACTTGTAGTTTAATAAGAAATATTGATAACCGTGAAACAGAACCAATTTTTATAGTATTAAAACAACAATTTGTCAGAACAAAACAAAATACACATGACTCGTCACGATTTTAAAACGAGCAGGGGATTACCTGTTTAATAAACACCAACAGTGTTGCCATTTACAATATAAAATGTGGGAAATGATAGATTTTCAATAAAATTGAGCCAACAATAATTTTATTTGAAAGCAAGTACATCTATTATCTATTCACATACCACCTTTGGATGCCTCATGTACCACTCTTGGCCTAAATAACAAAATTGGTGAACTGGAACTGTTTTTGCAAGATGAAAATCCAGATATAATTTGCTTCTCTGAACATTGGATGGCGGCGGATAGTTTAGTTTATAAAGACATAAACAATTATAAATTAAAAAGTTACTTTTGTAGAAGTGTATTTAAACATGGTGGTGTCTGTATATATACAAAAGAAAATATAAAAACTGAAGACATTCAAATTCAATCCAAGGAAAAAGTGTGTGAATGTTGCGTCATTAAGTGTACCCAACTAAACATGTTTTGTTGTCTGCGTGTATAGGTCACCTTCTTCTGACATTTTAGAGTTTTTATTAATGTTTGAAAATATGCTGGTAAATCTTATTACTAAAGATAATGAATCAATAGTTGTTTTAGGTGATTTTAATGTAAATTTTTTAAATACTTCTTGCCAAAATCGAAAAAAACTTGTAAATTTAATAGAAAGTCTTAATTTACATGTTTCTATAAACATGCCTACGAGAGTTACAAATTCAACACAAACTCAAATTGATAACATATTTACAAATATTCATTACTCCAACTATAGCTCGTCTGTTCTATTTACAAACATCTCAGATCATTATACAATCAAATTCGAACTTAATAGTAATGTTGATACCACAATAGAGAAAAAGTATTTTGGGAGAGTATACAATGAATGCAACACAAAATTTTTTGTTGATTATCTGTCAAGAGTCGACTGGGATTCACATTTTAATGCGCTGAATGCTAATATATGTTTCAGTGTTTTTCATGATATATTCAAAACGGGCTTCGATACCTTTTTTCCAAAAAAAATGTTCAAAAATAAAAATAATATTAACAAAAATCATTGGATAAATAATAACATTAAAAACTTAACAAAGCTTAAACGTGAGCTCTATACAAACCTAATAAATTGTAGCTCAATAATTTATCCCTTTTTAAAAGAGAGGTATAATAATATTTGTAATAAATTAAAATCTGAAATTAATATAGCTAAATATAAATTTAATGAAAATCTTGTAAAAAATGCCCCAAATAACCAAAAACAATTGTGGAAATTGATTAATAAAAATAAAAATACTGTCCAAAAGCAAACAAATATTACAGTAGAGTCTGATAACGGACCCATAAATGACCCAGAGGAGGTTGCTGATGCTTTTAACGCTTTCTTTGCTAATATTTCTGAAAATTTAAATTTACCTACTCCGAATATGAATTGCAATTTAAATGTAGCTACTTCAAATATGTTTTTCTATCCATCTGATGAACAAGAAATTTTTAATATAATAATTAATCTCAAAAATAAACAATCTACAAATTTTTGAAATAGCGATATCAACACGGCTTATTAAATATTTGGAAAAATATAGTATTCTAACTAAAGCTCAATATGGGTTTCTTAAAGGCCGTAATACCGATTTGGCAATTTTTGATGTTATAAATTATATTATGGAATCATGGAATAGAAAAACTCTGACAGTAGCTGCATTCTTTGATTTATCCAAAGCATTTGACTGTATCGACAAACAGCTGCTCTGCCTGAAGCTGGAACGGTATGGTGTAAGAGGGGTAGCTTTAAGTTTGATAAGCTCTTATATGTCAAACAGAAAACAATATGTTAAAATGACTTCAGAGAGCGGTGTTGAAATTTCGTCCGACACTGTAGATTTAAGTAAAGGTGTACCACAAGGTTCTATATTGGGACCATTACTCTTTATTTTGTACAACAATGATCTTCCAACTTTTGCAAGACACAATGAAAAAATAATAATGTTTGCTGATGATACTGCAGCAATATTTAGCAGTGACACTATTGAAACACTCACATCTTGCATAAATTCATCACAGAAAAACATATTTGAATGGTTTGGTAATAATGGACTAAAATTAAATTTAGAAGACTCAATTTATTAGGTTTGGAGAATACGGTTTTTCAGATGATCAACTTGGATTGGAAAATGATACTGTGTTGAATAGATCTGTCAAGTTCTTGGGCGTTATCATCGATAGTAAATTTTCTTGGAAAAATCACACTGAATATGTACTAAACAAAATCAATAAATTTTATTATTTGTTAATAAACCTTAAATTCAATTTCCCATCTAAGATTCTGTTAAGTATTTATTATGCTTTTGTATACTCTAACCTAAAATATGGTATTGTCTTCTGGGGCAATTCAGCTCATACTTTGGATCTTTTTATGTTTCAGAAGAAATGTATAAGATGTATTTTCAATTTGAATTCTACTGACTCATGTAGGCCTGTTTTTAGACAAAACAACTTATTAACCCTTACTGATATGTACATTTATGAAGTCTCAGTGTTCTATAAAAGATACTCAACATTATTTTCTGAGACAAATCGTAATCATACCTACTTAACACGTAATAAAAATTTACTATTAACCAAACAAACACAAATACATACCATATACAAAGGTATTCATAATTTTGCTTTAATCATTTATAATAAACTTCCTTTAACCCTAAAAGAACTTAATTTAAAAAAATTTAGGCCTGCGTTAAAATCTTACTTGGTAAGTAGGTGTGATTACGCTTTAAATGAATTCTGTAGTTGAGTTTTTTTTTTACTATTTTTTACTATTTTAAATTTGCTTAGTATATATTTTTAATATTTCATATTTATAATTTATATTTTTAATCAGTACATTAATTTTAATTCGTATTTGTATTGTATATGTATATTCTTTTTTGACGTGTTCTACATTGTGCCTTTGTAACAATTTTTTGAACAAATAAATCTATCTATCTATCTATCTATCTATCTATCATACCACAGTTTGAGAACCGCTAATTTAAAAGAAATTTAATATTTACCCATCAGATCCATATCCTCCAATACTATGAACTGTTTGAACTCTTTTCAAATATTCCTGAGGAAATTTATTACTAATTTTAGGATTTGAAATGAAGAAAGTATCATGAGCATCTCTAGCTGGATGTTGCTGAGGTTGAAAGAGAGCATCAAAATTCCAAAAAGAGTTTTCAATGTAATTATTGGTTGGCATTTCAGAGAAACCCATTTCCAAGAAAATTTGCCTAAATTCCGATCTTACTTTTAATAAAGGATGCAAATAACCACATTCAGGAGGAACACCTAGGGCATCAAAATTATATTCTTTGAACTTGAGATCTTTCCAACTTCCTGCCAAAAGCATGTCAGTTGTTAAATCAGTCTCAAGTTTTTTTAGTTCCAAGCTAAATTCAGGCCCTTTTTTCAATAAAAAGCTCTTAATAACAACTTCTTGAATAAGCTTGCGTTTTTTATATTCTTGTTTTTCTTTATTGGAAATATCACCTCCAGCTCCACTGTCAATTAATTTAAGATTTAATTGAACTGCATCTGTTATTTCAGAAACTTTTTTTTTTACCAAAGGTGTATTTCCACTTTTATCTACAAGAACCCAACCTGCAGACATAGCTTTACTAAATCCAATTTTAGCATTGGGTATTTTCATGAGATCTGCCTGGGCAATACCATCATCCGGTATGTTATTAAATATATTTGCTTCATAACTTCCTAAGAAATTTAAAAAACATTTTTAATTATTATTATTATATAAATTCATATTGATATTATTGTTTACCATTTTGTATTATAGATTTTCCTTCCCCAGATACCTCCAATTTATTTTCACTAATTTGCTCAGCTGTTACCAATTCCCCATTTGCTTGAATACTTTTCAAAGCTCCTACAATTTTTTGATGATCTTCTTTAAAAGCAGCTGCCAAATCCAATGTGTTAACTTCATCTATATGTAACAAGTACTTCAAAATTTTTTCACTTAATTCCGACATATTTTTACTTAATGTTAATTATTTAGAAAATGATGCAATCTATATTCTACGGATTTAATATATTTTTTAAAACGTGATGATGACAGAATTTCTGTCACAAAAATATCAAATATTGACAGCGTAGCAGTGTTGCGGCACTGTTGCCAACAGTATATTGATATTTTCTTCCCCTACAAGAACAAAATTCTCCGAATATCTTTCAAATTCTCCGCATTATACAAATATAATGTAAAGCCTGATTTGTAGATTCTGGTTTTTGGGTATAAATAATGAATTTTGTAGTTTCATATTTAAAAAAAATTATTACTTGTTTTTTAAACCTTTTGTTATTTCCTAAGCCTGATTGCTTTCCTTCCTTCCTCCCGTAAAAGATGAACAATACGAAAACCGTAGTGCCGTTTACGGAATTGTATTGTTCATCTTCTACTGGAGGAAGGAAGGAAGGATGGCAATCTATAAATCAGGCTTAAAAATTCTCTGCGGACCTTAAAATTTTAAGCAGAGAATTCTCCGCCTATTGGCAACATTGATTCCAAAACTGCTGTTCTTCGTTACGATGTTGCCAATTGTACAATAAACTAATTCAATAAATTTTTAATTTGTGCCAAAATTATTAATAAATAGGTCTTTATGTTATTATATTATCTACACTATTTTTACAGAATTTTAATTTTTAAATAATTTTCAAATTCTCCGCTAAAATCAATTCTTTGCAATATTCTCCGCAAAGCGCATAGTTTTCAACCTACTGGCAACACTGCAGCGTTGGTAATATAGTCAGCGCTGCCAGATTTGGGGTTTTTACCCCAAAATGGGGGATTTCATCTTGCTTTGAGGAAACTTTGGGGTAAAGCTCATTTTGGGGTATTATGGGTTTTTAGGAAATTCCAGAAATTTATTTATTAAATTAAATTTTAATAAAATTATAAATTATAATTATTTTAAATTATTATAGTTTTATTTTTTGGTTTTCTTACTAAAGTGTATTCAAATCCAAGCTGGACTAAACAAAAACGCCCAGACGCATGATAACTCGTTCTTGTTGGTCGATTCTGATGGTGTGACTCGGATTGTGAGTTCTTATTGGTCGATTCGGAGGATTGTGTTTACATTTAGTCCAGCTTGGATTTGTTCTGTGTACACAGCATAAGGATATCTTTATGCTGTTGTGGTACCAATGTACACAACAAATTACGGGACATCCATTAATTATGTAAAATAAAAATGGGGGGAAGGGGTCTAGCAAAATCTCACCAAATCTACCCAGCAAACCAAATCATGTCACAGTGATATAACATTTACATAAAAATTGTTCCTTAAGTAATTACTATGCACCAGCTATGTCACCTATACTGTAATGGCAATGCTCCTATGTCCGCCTCAAGACGCCTTCCTGGGTATGTAACTGTGATGTAACAGTGTTTTATCATAGTTATGTAACTGTAATGTTACAGCGCCATATCAGTTATGTAACAGTGATATAACATTTACATAAAAATGGTTCCTTACTATGCAACAGCTATGTCACCTATATGTAATGGCGATGCTCCTATGTCCGCCTCAAGACCCCTTCCTGGGTATGTATCTGTGATGTAACAGTGTTTCCCACACAGAACACGCTATCCAATGGATATCCAATGGCTATCCCAATGTCCATATAACATCCATGCCTTTTACGATATCCATTGGATATCCAATGGATATCCATACTGGATGTTCAAAAAAAACAAAAACATTAGAAATATTTTTTTCTTTTTTAAAATAGCCCCTTATAGGATAAATTTATGTAATGATTAATAAATATGATTTAAATCGTTATTAACCCAATTTCAACAAAGTATCTCTAATATATATCCAATGGATAACTAATGTATGTCCAAAGTATATCCACTGTACATCTAATGTATATCCACTGGATATCCACTGGATATCCGATGGATATCCATACTGGATGTTCAAAAAAAAAACAAAAACATTAAAAATATTTTTTTCTTTTTTAAAATAGCCCCTTATAGGATAAATTTATGTAATGATTAATAAATATGATTTAAATCGTTATTAACCCAATTTCAACAAAGTATCTCTAATATATATCCAATGGATAACTAATGTATGTCCAAAGTATATCCACTGTACATCTAATGTATATCCACTGGATATCCACTGGATATCCAATGGATATCCATACTGGATGTTCAAAAAAAAAACAAAAACATTAAAAATATTTTTTTCTTTTTTAAAATAGCCCCTTATAGGATAAATTTATGTAATGATTAATAAATATGATTTAAATCGTTATTAACCCAATTTCAACAAAGTATCTCTAATATATATCCAATGGATAACTAATGTATGTCCAAAGTATATCCACTGTACATCTAATGTATATCCACTGGATATCCACTGGATATCCGATGGATATCCATACTGGATGTTCAAATAAAAACAAAAACATTAAAAATATTTTTTTCTTTTTTAAAATAGCCCCTTATAGGATAAATTTATGTAATGATTAATAAATATGATTTAAATCGTTATTAACCCAATTTCAACAAAGTATCTCTAATATATATCCAATGGATAACTAATGTATGTCCAAAGTATATCCACTGTACATCTAATGTATATCCACTGGATATCCACTGGATATCCGGTGGATAACTGATATGGATATCTTGTATATATACTTGTATGTATACATGTGGGATTTTGTGATGGTTTAAACTAGCATATGTAAAAAAAACGACTTTACGTTAAATTGATTTTTTGCCAAGAGCTACGAAATTTTTAATTTTGAAATGTTCACTTTACCCAGATAATAATATTTATATATTAATAATATTATACAATACAATAAAAAATTACTTAAAAAAGTCCTTTTTGTTTATTATTGTATTTCATATATGTACTACGCACGCGCTGAATTTGAGAATCTTCAGTGTTGTCGGTTATAAGCAAAATAACTAAACGAAATATATTTCCGTACTTTATTAAGTTTTAATAAATAAATTAAATAAATTTAAAATAATTATTCACCACATTTATGTCAAATAGGTATACTAGGTATACTAATTAATTAAGTATTAAAGATTTAATAATATAACCGCCATTTTGATGAGCTTTCTGAAATTATTTAAACGTCTGACAACACTGCCGGCGAACACAGAAGATAAATGTCACCATATTACCTTGCCGCTGCATCTCGCCGCTGTCCAGGTCGCCCAACTAGTATATAGGTGGGCGGTTGCTTGGCTTGAAGCGTGTCTCTCGGCACCAACTGCCTGACATTGATGAGACCCAACAGGTCGAAACAGTCTGTCTGTCAGTGTTGGTGGGCATGGTACATTAGTCATTGTGCCATGTTAAACAAATGGGCTGATGGATTGGCCAAATTTTGGGGATCATAAGGAGACAGGTGAAATAGGCCCTAAATGATTAGGCTGATAAAAAGGCAAATGACAGCTGGAGGAGTGATGGCAAGCACTTCTTTAGTTATATGTAGTTTTCTGTTCTATTTTATGTTTTCATAAAAATAAATATTTAAATTAAAGAATAAGACTTTTATTTTGAAACCCAATGTTATTTATTGAAAAGTAAATATCCATTGATTCACCATATCCAATACAGATGACAACCATATTGCATACAATACTATATCCACTGGGTATCCATTGGATATCCACACTATGTCCAGGAGGGTCGGACATTTATATATCCAATGGTTATCCATTGGATATCCATACAATCTCCATATTGAATACAGATTACAACCTTATTGCATACAATACTATATCCACTGGGTATCCATTGGATATCCACACTATGTCCAGGAGGGTCGGACATTTATATATCCAATGGTTATCCATTGGATATCCCGGATATCCTATGTATATCCTGGATATCCATAAAAGAAATCCATTGGATATCCATTGGATGTAATTGTTCCGTGTGGGTTTATCATAGATATGTAACTGTAATGTTACAGCGCCATATCATAGTTATGTAAACGTGATAAAACAATTATATTCTATTTGCAATATTTACATATTATTTATGAAATATTTATAAATATAATTTCATGTAATATATTATCTTACTGGTATTAAAAATTACTTAGGCCTAACTTGGTATTATGGCAAATTTTTTGAATAAAAATCAACAAAATTTTAAAATTGCCATAATACCAAATTAGAACTAAGAAATTGTTAATTCCAGTTAGATAATATATTAAATAAATTATAAATAAATATTACATAAATAATAAGTAAACATTACAAAAATAAATGATTCTGAAAGAGATTAAAAAAAAAACAAATTGGTTTAAATGTTTATTAAAAATTATTTTAATTAAAAAAAAACAAATCATTTCTTCTTTCTAACTTCTTAAAACAAACGAAAAGTTTTTCCAAACAAAAAAAAATCCCAAATACAGTAATACTTCAAAGCTAAAAAATATATGGTAAAAAAGATAAAGCAATCCCATGAGTTTAATATTAATATACCTTCTTTTCATGGGTTTTTTGCTTCCCTATAGGGTATACCAAATCTTTGTTTGGCCTGCCGGAACCATTCGGAAACTATGCCTTCAAAATTTTTGTCTGTCGAAGTGCACACAGCAGCTTAAAAAAATTTATTTAATAAAAAATCCCATAAAATTTACATTTTTACCCTTCAATATTTCAACAGATTTTAAATTTTGAATTTTATTGTTGTTTCTTAGCCCCAGCCAAGAGCAATCTTTTGCCAAATTATTTGAGAAGATTTTCTTTAAAACTCTTATTGTGGCATCTTTCTCTGAGACGTCTCCAATTTTTGTTATATACTGAAACTGAAAAAAATACAATTTAATATTATTTTTGTTTATTGATTTGTTTTCAAAACAAAGAACAATAGTTAACTATTCTTTATGTAGTTATGTAAATGATATTTGGTACAAATAATAATTTGTTTGATTTTATTTATTCAAGTCAAATGCACCCTGCAACCTTAAGAGATATAAAAATAATGAAAAATATGGAATTTGCATAAAATTTATTGTCACAACAATTATAATAAAAAAGTGTATCCATCTTGGTTATTTAGCTAAATTATTGTATCTTTTAAGTACCAGTTGAAAAAACAGTATAAAGTTAAAAAAATATAGAAATTAAACTCTTATTTTGGCTACCAAATATCATTAAATTATAATTTGTCGCTTGTTTCTTAGCACCCTGTTTTAAAAACAAATTAACATTATTAAACAGGTTTAAAATCGCCCTTTATATACTTACAAATTCAGCCTCTACTTCTTTTTGCAATAATGTTTTCTCAAAACTTTTAACAGATTATTAATAAAAAGTTGACTAGGTAAGTATCTATTACACAAATCTTCCACAAAAGTATGGGAATTTTTCCTATGACCTCCTGAATATTCTCCCAAATTTTCTGTAAAAATATTTTTATTATATGTTTATTTATTGGCTGCAGCCATGGTTAGGGAAAGATAATACTTCGGTTTTAGCCTCAGTATATTCCAGATTGTCTTGGGTATTTTCTATACAATTTCTTACCTCCACGCCCATTATTTTGAGATCTGCATTAATTCTCCTCCGCTTTTGCCTCCGGGATAGGGAAATATATTTTTTTCTATTTTTGTCTTCCATTTTATTATAAAAAAATTGAATCAAACTTAACTTAACTTAAAACACAATAGAGGGCACTCGACACAACCGTTTAAACGAGTTCGTTAGTAAGATAAAAAGGCTATATAAATACTATAAAACATTAATATATAACATTTATATATCATTGTTACAATGTAGGTATAAAACATTGTTATATAGCCATGACATAATAGGGATGTAAATATAACAAGAAGGGATCATTTTGATATAGCTATTATATTAAAAATTTTTATTATAATTATGTAACAAAATAAAGAAAAACTATGTAAATACCATATAATAAGGTTATATGGATACTATAAAACATTGCCATATATCAATGATGTATCATTGTTCCATTGTATATATATAACATTGTTATATGGCTGATACATAAGGGGGATGTAAATATAACAAGAGGGGAACATATTTATATAAATGTTATATTACTATGTTTTATCATAATTATGTAACAAAATAAATAACTAATATGTAAATGTTATGTAAACAATTTTATATGGCAATGTTCTTTGTTAGTTATATCATGGTTATGTAAATGGAACAGCCTGGTTTGCTGGGTATATATACATTGATTTTTTATTACCAAACACTGATGGCATAAAAAATCATGTCGTGATTTTTTATGCCATCGGTGTTTGGATATTTATGTTTGCGCCACATTTGTACATTGAGAGAAAAAGTATACCTACATATAGGCATATTGAATCATTGAATCAACAGTTTTTGTGGTTAAATACATTCAATATTTTTTTGGATTTAAATTAATAGTTAATTTACATCCAAGAAAATATTAAATGTATTTAAACGCAAAAACTGTTAATTCAATTGTTAACATACTTTTTCTTTCAATGTACGAATGTGGCGCAAAAATAAATATCCAAACATGTTGGTGCACCGATGGGATAAAAAATCATGTCATGATTTTTTATGCCCAAACACCGATAGGATAAAAAATCATGTGTTAAACTAGGTTTTAAATTCGCAATTCGCAGGGCTATACGCATGCGCAAACTTTGCAAATATCACACCGTGAGTTCTACATGATATCACTGTGATGAAGCATGTGTATGCACTCAGGATATCACAGCGTGATAAAAAAAATCACGTTGTGATATCATCATGACTTCACCAGGAAATCCCGATTGTTGTCCGGGAAGTACCTACCTTTTAATTTAAGAATTTAAGTTTTAAAAACTTGGCAATGCATTGCATGCTGTTTACCTAATAAGTTAAAAATTTCATCTTTAAATATGTAAAACTGGTCTAATCTTCTGCATTCCTTTAATGTAGAATAACATTTCTTTAGAAAAATTAAGAAACTAACATTTCTGCACACCCTTAATATTTAACCAAATGAAAATCATAACAAACAAGCTTAAGGGGTCTTAGAATTAAAAAACCTATTCTAAGCAAGGTGTAATTGTAAACAATTTTATTTAAAATAAAAATATCAACCAAGATTTTTAACATTAATCATTATACCAATCTAAAAACAACAATGAAAATGACATAACCAACATAAAAAATAAAATCCATACTCTTAGCCCCGCATTTCTTTGAATAGCCTGCCGAATTTGTTCATTGGCATCTCTCATATTGTCTGTAGACCCAGCAACTGTTGTAGAAATCCTTTCAATATCTTTCTCCTGTTGTAATACTTTTTCTGTAAACAACTCCTGAAGCTCTGCTATATGGACAACTTTACTTTCCATTTGTTTTACTTCATCTGAAACACTGTTTAATTCGTTAAATAAAAACTCATTTTCAGATTCAAACATTTGTAATTCTTCAGCTGATAACTCCTCAAAGTTGTCAGATTGAGTTACTGAAGGTATAATTATGGGTTTTACATTATCTATTTCAATTAAACTGTTGGTGGAATCATTTAATTGAAGTTTTTTCTTAGATGGTGTCAGTTCTAATTTTGATAATTTATGTGTTTCTATAACCCTTTTCACTCTAATAGCCTTGGCTTCTGTGTAAATTTTCGATACATTTTTTAAATATTTTTCCAAAGACAAAATTATATTTTCATAATGCTCCTGTTTTTGTTTTGTTTTAGCCAATTGCTTAATTTCTATTTTGTACTCAATAATTAAAGTAGTACAACTACTTACTATTTTTTCAGCAGCTTCATCAATTTTTTCCCTATCAATTTCAGTCATGGTTTTATTAGTGGACAAATAATTTATGACATTAAGGTACGCTGCTTTATTTTCCAATAAGAAATTCTGTAAACTGGATATCTGTTTAACAATTTCTTTTGCTTTACCAAGGTTTCCATCTTTTGTGCCTTTTAAAAAGCTGTTTTTTTGATCTCTTACACCAAGGGATTTATTTGTTGTACGTACGGTCTTTACGCAGGCCTTAAAAAGGGTTGTTATATCCATATTTTGGATTATCACCACAGATATTATACTAAACGTCACATTTGACAACACATCTAACCAAACTTTTTCATTTAAGAAAATGTTGTTGGACAAATACAATGTGCTTATAGTATTTAGTAAATACATAAAATATAAAAAATATGTTTTTTTATGGTTAAGTTAATTTTTTTTATGGTTAAGTTTTAAAATATTTGTAAGGTAAAATCAGTTTTTAGTAAAATTAAAACATCAATAATATTTTATGTTGGTGCGCGAGGTTACTGGGCAAGCGCACTAAAATAATTATAAACTGGCCGGTTGGGTATTTAAAACTGCAATTACGTAATTCGCACATTGGTGTTCGTATAAATGAGCAGGTAGCTCGTTTTAACTAATAGTTGTACATCCGCCGGGCTCGCTGTATAACGTACATACGTACGCACGGCTTCAAAATGCTGAACCTAAAATTGGTTTCAAAAACTTTGCAACCATTAAAATCACGTGTAGATATCGGTCAGCTACTGAAAGTTGTGCCTGCAGCATGCATCCAGGGCCGTGGCTATGCCGACCACGTCATCCCAGAAAGGCTTAAGGACATGGCAACCAACCCCAATCCCAGATTCTTCGACATGGTAGAGTACTTCTTCCACAAGGCCTGTGTTTTGGTTGAAGACAAGCTTGTGGAAGATTTGGCCAAAGTTAAAGGATCAAGGCTAACCCTTCAACAAAGACAGGCTAAAGTTAAGGGAATCTTGACTCACATGGAAGAATGTGATCATGTTATTGAAGTTGCTTTTCCCATCAAACGAGACAATGGAGAATATGAAATTATTAAGGGTTATAGGGCTCAACATAGCACACATAGAACACCATGTAAAGGAGGTATGGTTAATTATATATTTTTTTACTAAGGGGTTGTCCTTATAGGACATCACGAATTTTTAGGGGATTTCTGACCACCTCCTCTCCCCTCGTCACAAATGGTCACAGAATTGGGAACCCTGGGGGGCTCCTGTTGTCACGTCACAAATTCAAAAAACCAATAATTAAATCACAGAAAATAAATACAGTGTGACCCATTTGTTTGCGATTTACCCCTGTAAAATCTTTATTTATTGTGCGATTTTAACCATATTTGTTTTAAAGTGTAGATCAGGGTTCTTTCACCCTGGTGTAGATCTTGATAAATGACAAACAAATGGGTCACACTGTATGTATAAAAAAAATCAAAAATAAAAGAAATTAATTAAAGAAAATAATTCTTGAAAAAGAAAATATAACGGATTTTGGACGTCACATTCTCACTACACCCCTTCGCCCTTGTCACAAATATTCACGTTTTTCTAGACCCCCTAGGGTGTGACGTCCTGAAATTATTATTTTTACATGTTTATGACATTAATAACACTGTAGGGAGGTGAAAATATCACAGCTAATCGCTCAGACACGTAAACTTGTCAAACCATCGAGCAGGCGTCACTTAAGGAATAACGCTAACCTTAATTTTAAAGCACACGTGCGGCTAAACTACTCGTGCCACTTATTCACGCTCGTGCTGTTACTATGGAGGTAAAACGAAGTTCCATATGTTATCTGGGGTTTATTTTAAAATATATCAGTTTATATAATACTAAAAAATTATAAAATTAAACATTATCTAGTTACGCACGAAAATATTTGATAACTATAATAGAACATTTGCCTTTTAAGTACCATGCTCCACACCAAAAAGTCCTATTTTCAGAAAAAAACAAAATTTATGGTAAACTGACAGATACATAACCTCAATTATTTGTATTTAAATGTCAAGTGGGACTTTTGGGTGTGGAGCTTAGTCAGAAGGCAGACATTTTGTGTGTATTCACCTTAATTAGAAAAATAACACATGGATACAAATTGTAAATTTATTAATAAATAAATTAATAATTAATATTGAAGGCGCATTCATGCTCAATTAAAATAAGAAATAAGAATTATAAATAAGAAATAAGATAAAAAGTTAAAACTGTGTAAAGTAATGGCTGCGTTCATGTCCATGAAAATAAGAAATAATAAATAAAGACTAAAGATAAATAACTTTTAACTTTGGTTCTTATTTTTGCGTATAAAATTACGCCAAGGACAAAATTGGTATGTGAATTGGTTTTATGGGTTTTATGTGCTGGCCATGGATCCATGGTGTTGGAGATCGCGTTGAGTCTCGCTGTCGATTGTTTACGTTTATAGCCAAAATATAATCCACTATAATAAAATATAATTGTGTGACAACATTTTTTATTTCTTATGTTATCAGCATGAACGATTAATCGCAATCTTATTTCTTATTATTATAAATGAGCATGAATACGCCTTGAGTGTCATTTTTGTATTTAAAAAAAATGTCGAATCAGAATCTGGATCGCATTAATTCAGAAAATATATTTATGTTTAGCGGGTATACGCTTTTGTTAGCATAATATGCTATGACATGTGGTAACAAAAGGGTATACCCGCTAACCATAAATATGATTCTTGAATTAATGCGAATACGTTTAAGGCTCTACTGAAAAAATGCCTTTTTTGACTTATGCCTTTTACCTACAGACTTATTCAAATATATTTTCATTTTTATCATTTATTTAAAATTTATTTGACAAGTTGAGAGCCATTTGAAATACGTCATTTCAAACGCGTCACCCTGTAATTTACCTTAAATAGAAAGTATAATTCTTGCCAATTTTTAAGAATTTTTTAATTAAAATTATTATTTCAATTTTGTTTTGTTTCTATATCAGTGCAATATCACAAATTCAAAATTATGTTACCTCTTAGGTGAACCATGAAAATTTATGAATGTTAAAAAAATGCTGAACTATGAGAATGTGTGAAATTTAAATTAAATTTATCAATAATTTTTTAAGTTATTCTGTATGGAAATTTGATGCCATCCATTTAACCCTTTTCATAGCTTCGCCATTTTGAATTATTTCAATACAAAATTAGCAAGAATATTTTTTTAATTCACATGTGCAATGCCTTTATGTTTGATGCTATGAATAAATAAAAATCAATGTTTTATATTACAGATAAAAGTAAACTTTTATAATTTTAACATTTAATTTATAATCAATATTTAATTAATAAATTATAATAGGTTTGGCTTTAGCAAAATGTCTTAAAGAATTGAATTAAAACTCGTTTCCTCATAACATTATTTTGTTGATCAAGGTTGATTTAAGTACCTACTTAATTCTGGATCGTAAATGTTTCTTTTTTTTATAATATTTTTTATTAAATTAATTTTATTCGGTATTTAATTTTTTTGAAGTGTTTTACTTGTTACAAATCCCGATCATAATTTAAATATCACCACGCTAGTTGTTAGCGTAAAAAATAGTTAAATTGAAATATAAGTATAAGATAAATTATTTTTATTAATGGCGGATCTAGGGCAGGCAAAGGGGGCAGCCGCCCTGAGCGCCGAAGTCGAGGGGCGCCAAATTGTTGCCCCACGAACACAATATATTTTTAATCGTGAATTTTGAATTTTATGCTTTGAGTTTCAATAGGTGCTACGTCCAAATGACGTCCCCGATTAACGTCTATAAATTAACAAAAAATTATTTGTTTGGAAATTGAATAATAAATTAGCTTTTGTGTATTATAACAATCTTAGATCCGTCACTGATATTAGGGATGCACCGGAATTCCGGCGGTACCACTAAATCCGGCCGATCCGGCCAGTTGGCCGGAACTACCGTTCCGGCCGGATCACTCCGGCCGGCCGGAATTTTCGGAACTTTTTGGAAATGTTTAAGTTTTAAATTTTTAATATAATTTAAATTCAAATATATGCAAAAATAAAGAAAATTATTTTAAGGTTTTTTTAATTGGTGCCTACTAACCTATTGTTAAGTCGTTAATTAATCACAAATAATTTTTTTATTATTGGCAGGTGGCTGCTTTTCTCCAATTGAATGAGTAGAATTGTTTTAATTTTGTTAACGCTAATTAAAAATTAATATTTAAATAAACAGTAATTTCTATCTAGGTAAAATTAATAGTAATAAACACTCTGCATACTGTAGCTAGTTTAAAAAAAGTAAAAATAAATCAGCCTCAATATTTTCAATGGTTTACGTATAAAAATAGGCATGCACATACATTTTAAATTTAGGTCCCGATCCGGCCGGAATTCCGGCGATCCGGTCCGGCCAGCGGCCGAAATTCCGGTTCCGGCCGGATCGGCAAAATACCCGATCCGGTGCATCCCTAACTGATATTTATCAAAACTATAAATAAAACAACCAAATTATATTACAATTTATAAATTACTACTATATGTTTTCTAGTATAATATTGTTTACTACATTTAACAATAATAAAGCCTTATAAACCAAATATATACAGAGTTTTATAACCCTTATTTTTTATAGATAATAATAACGTAAACGTAATTACGTTTTAATAGTTAATAGTTTTAAATACTTTAAATACTTTTCGTTATTTGTTTTTTATATTTTTATTCAAATTTGTTAGGGATTAGAATTTAGTTAATAAAAAAAAATAGTTTGTCAAATAAAATATGATAGAATTTTGTTTCTTCTCAGAACCATAGGGTTTTTACTATTTATAGGTTTTTCTTTAATATCTTTTAAAATAAAAATTATCTAAATTTAGTATGCATTTATATACCTATTTAAATTGACCCAACTCTGTATATATTTGGTTGATGCTTGTTAATTTATTTCATAAAATTGCCTTTAATTGGATTTTATGAAAGGATCTAAACAAATTTAAATTGAATCTTTCAAGATTCACTTTATTCGTGAGGCTGAAATCCAAAACAATATGTGCTGAACATTAAGAAGCAAACCTTATAGGCTCTAAATAGGCTTTAAAATATCTTATTTAATAGCAAACTTAGTTAACGAAATATTTTTAAATGGGCCTAAAATATTTTTAAAGTGTTTTTTTTATTCGCACTTCTAGAAATAAAGCAAATAGAAAAAGTATTGTATTTATTTTATATTTATCGTTACAGTGTCAAACACATTTTTAATATTTATCTACTAGGTAAAACCTACTCATTTTTTGAAAGCGTTACCCACTGTTCTATACAATAACCTATGCACTTATGGACAAATTTTTGCATTATTGAACAGTGTCTTTCATTTGTCAATTATAATTAATTATAATTACCGATCAATGGAAAATTGAAATTGTTTGAATAAATGAAACCAGTTGTGAAAAATAACGAATATACAATAATCGTGTACTGGCTCTGTTCCAATAAAGAAAACGCAATTTTAACTTGTTGCATAATAAGGAACTTTATCTAGATAAATATTGTATTGCACATAATTATACACATATATTTAATTTTGTTATATTTATTAGACGATAAAAGGTTGTGTGCATGAAATATTTTTGTGTAAAATTTATGCGATTTTATCCTTGAGAAATGTTATCAATCTTAATTGTTTATATTTTTTAATAATTGTTACATTCTTAATAAAATATGTTATTTTATTACTTTATTATAGGGTTTATAATAAAATGTATTAAAAGATCCATTTAATTGAGTCAATTGGTCTGCCAGTCCTTGACATATATTAATTTTTTTTTGATATAGCTACAGCAATTGGCCAGATAAGGTTGTGGAGTGGTTTATTATTAGATAAGATTGTACAACTTGCGAAATTTCTTATTCTTATTTAAAATTTAATAAAATTTATCTTATTATTATGGCGTTTCATAATGGTAATTATGGATAAAATCGAAGAAATCTATTTTTGGAATAAAATTGTCAAAACTTTTCTTAATTTTGTGGTTAAAAGTCAAGAGTTGCTTTTCAATTAACCGTTTTAAGCACCCAATGCAGGTCGAATGCTACAATGAATGTGAAAAACAAGAGTTATGAGATTGTAAAATTAACAATAATTATTGAAAAGCACTTAATAGTATTGACCTCTTAAATTTGTTAAAAAAATGTTTTTCTAAATGCTATTGCATAAGTTTGTTTCCTTTTCTTAAGCATCGCCAAGGGGGGTCAGAAAAAATGTATTCAAATGCCTTATCCCTTACGGTCCGATTTATAATTCGTTGCATTTACGGTTTGGAAGTAATTAAGGTTTTTCTGTAATAAATCGCAGGTCAAGAAAATATTTTAATTTTTTTTTTTGTTGACGGATTAATTGATAATTTTGGGTAAAAAAATATTTAATTAAACAATCTTAAACCAACTTTTTTTAATTGAAAAAAATTGACCGGCCATTTTGTTTTAATTCGATGATTAACTGACAAAACAACAATGTAAATTGATCGGACAAGCAGCGGGGCGGCTGATCAGCTCGCACTGGGTGTTGGTCACGTCGCCTTCGACGTCTTAATTCCCCATAAATACGAGCCACCCAGTATAAAAAATTGTTTAAAAAATATAATTGATATTTACTTCCTTAAAATTTTTTTTATTTTATTTTTATTGAAAAGTACGGAAAATATACTATACAACTGCATTGTTTTTTAGCGAATTAAAAACTATACAATTTTATGACAATAGTCGTACAAAAAACATGGTTAACCTTCGGATGACCAAGGGGGGTAAATTTTGACCCCAATGTATATTTTTCTTGAATAAACTCTTAAATATTTTTAATTTTTAACTGATTATTTTTTTATTTGACTATATTATTATGCCAAGTATCTTTATATTTTGCATAAAAAAATTTACAAATATTTCTCATTAAAAAAGTATTTTTAAAATAAATATGGTATTAACAGAATATTTAGAAGATCCTGAAGATGCAGAGCCAGCTGAAAATCCCAAGAAACGTGGCCGATGTAAAATTTGCTGTCGATCTTCCGACAGAAAGTTTACAACGAAATGCGATAAAAAAAGCATTTTGTCTGCAAGGAACATTTAAAGATTAAAAAACATACTATGTAATACCTGTGGTTACTAGTGCATTTTTTTTACAAATTTCATTGCTTCCTTTATTAGGTTTAGACTAATATTTTTACTTTTTTGGTTTAGTTGGATTAAAAATTTGTTGTACTAATGTTTGTTCTCATTATTTAATATAAAATATAACATTAAAATAATGAAAGCATGTTTTCGTTTACTAAAATCAGGAGGGGTCATTTTTAACCCCCATTGGTAATCCATGTATAAAAAAGAGGTTGGTCATCCGAAGGTACAACAACCCCACCAAGTTTCATCAAAATCGAATACATAGGATTTTGAAATGGGTACACTTGACGTGTTTGCCCTTTATTCAGAATTTAACATTTGTAATTAGGTACCTACCTACATCTAACGGTAATCCTTTACTCACATCGGCCTCCAGCGCTATACTTTACAAATTGTTTGTATCCGACCCAAAGATAAATAAATGTATACAAAAATGTAACCTTCGGCCAAACATTTGGCTTCGGCTAAAATTGAGCCGAAGGTTTTGCCGAAGCTTACTTTCTACTAGGAAATTTGCGGATTTAAAGACAATTATTAACTTTACCTCTTCATAAATCTTTTAATTATCTTTTTTTCAGGGTTCGCAAATATATATATCACTTGATTTTTATTGGATATTTATTATGGATATATATCGGATATTTATATAAATATCATGATATTTTCGAACCCTGCTTTTTGTACTATTTTTCCTGGACTCCCTTGGTGGTCACCTTAAACGTTTAGCTTTTCCGCCAGTGCAGATACACCCTGATGAACATGAAAATACATTTTCTTACTACCTCGACTGAAAATACGTTGTTTCGTCCCAGATTCCACGGCAGAAAGTTTACGTTTGATGCATTGGTCAAGCTATACGCGCACCCTCTATAATAGCGGGAGTAAAAATTTTTTAGTCGTGTGCACTAGTACTCAACATATGCAACTCTGATTACGACACTAATATAACCTCAAAATTTGTTTTCAATTAGTTAATTAACTTATTGTTAATATTGAATATTATTTAAGACTAATAGTGAATAGTGAATTTTCAGTCAAGGTAGTATACACTACACGGGCAGAAAGTGTGAGAGCCCTGCACTGCGCGCCATGATGCCCTCGGCTTCGCCTCGGGCATCATGACGCGCAGTGCAGAAATCTCACACTTTCTGCCCTTGTAGTGTAATATACTATAAGTTTTCTGTACAATCATTGGTTGAAAGTTGTCAATATTATAATAATAATGAACAAACGCTAGCATATGTTGTTAAAAGCGTTCTCCCCTCTAACTATAAATATAATTCCTGAATTAATGCGAATACGTTTGAAGGCTCTACTGAAATGTTGCTTTTTTGACTAATTAAGTAAAAATTAGAAAAAATAGTCATCTGGTATATCAAAACAAAAATACTTTAAATAATGTAATTATATCATTATCTTTTATATTTTAGGATATACTGTTTTTGTGCTAATTAAAAATATATCAGCCTGTATAATACAGTAATAATTACTTAATAGTGTAGCTTGGCAACAAAAACAAGATACGCCTGTTTCTTAACCACTTTTAGATAGGCAACCTATGCGCAATGTGTATCTTTATCTTTTATGAAAATATATCTATTTGTACAACTTGTTTTTTCTGATAGTTTGTACCACCTTTCTAATAAGCAGGACCATCGCTACCCGGGGTGCAGGTGCAGCTAGGTTTATTTTTGCCAATTTGTTTTTTAAAACAATAGATTTATTATTATAATTGTGTAATCACATTTTAAATCGCCCCAGAAAAACTACTTGATATTTATTAAAAAAAACTTTCTAAATATTCAGTAAATAAAAAATTACTCGCTTTTTATAAGTGTTTACAATTTTTGTGAAAAAAATAATAAACGGTTTATAAGTGAACTGTTCATCAAAAAGCAGTGTTAAAGGGCGAGTCCTTCAGATTTTGGTTAAATAAATTACTAAAGCTAAAACTCGTTTCCTAGCTCAAGAAAAACCAGTACTCCACCAGTATTCACTTGTCCATAACATCATTTTTATAAACAAACGATACCATCTTTTCAAAGGTTTGGTATAATAAAGCGCGTTTTTTAGGCCAGAATTTCTTAAAACCTGTCGTAATGAAGCAATTCGGAAGTCGGATTTCAGTTCATAGTATAAAAAACCTTCGGAAAGTAATTCGATTTCCATAATGGAATGGTAGGTAGTTCCCGGGTAGTTTCCGAAAAATCTTCGTCCATTTTTAAATTAATAGAATGGAAATACCCATTTGTTAAGGGCGGCAAAACAGCCAAGCTGGTCCTGCTGATAAAACAGTAATATTCCTTACTTTCCGTGATAACGACCAATAAAATTGAATGATCCCTGAACAACCCAACCCTATTACTTTTTATTCTTAAATACTTGTTTTAGATTTATTTATATTCTATACAATTTGTGTATTTTAGGTATGCGTTTCTCGATGGACGTGTCCAGAGACGAAGTTAAGGCTTTGGCTGCTCTTATGACATTCAAGTGTGCATGCGTAGATGTCCCCTTTGGTGGGGCCAAAGCAGGAGTAAAAATAGATCACAAGAAATACTCCGAACATGAATTGGAAAAAATTACTCGTAGATTTACTTTGGAACTCGTTAAGAAAGGATTCATCGGTAAGTGAACTTGGCCTTGGTATGTTAATAAGAAAAATCTAACTGTATTTGATTAGTTGCTTACATAATAATAAGATATTATCGTCGCCGTGGAAGTCAAGGAATTCAAGCCAAAAATTGAGGTTTTTATTTTGAACACCTTAATAAATCTTTACTTTACTTTACTTTTACCTTTATATAAGTAGGTACTTTATATTTTATACAGTGCTTGCAAATCCAAGTCCGACCGCACTGGAAAGGACGGCTGTTCAATACCCGCGTGAAAAGAACAAGGATAGAACGCCAAATAGAATTTGATTGGCCAGAGCCGGCAGGCTACGACAACGCATACCCATCGCGCACCTCGCAGCGTGCTTGCCTCGAGGATATCAGAACGAGAAATGCAGTGGTGCCAGCAAGAGGTAGTAATTTTAGTAAAAAAGATTATTTAATTAAAAAATGTACACGTTGGAACAAAAAGTTCAGATTTTAATCTGGCACTTTGCTGGTAATTCTGAACGAGAAATTCAAAGATTATTTGCGGGAATGTCCGAGGCCAGACCAAACAGAGAAACAATTCGACGAAACGTTAATAATTTTCTCACGCACGGTTGTGTAGTTCCGATGCAGTTCCGACGGGAATTTTTATAATAGGTTATGCTATTGTTTGGCTGCCTATGGGGGCTTGTTCGAACATTTAATTTAATTTTTGAGTTTATTTATTTTTATTATTTATTTTTAGAGTTTTATTTTTATTTAGAGTTTTATTTTTATTTATAGTTATTTTTATTCAGAATTATTTTTTATTTGAGAAATCTTTTTTATTAAGAATACTATTTTTGTTGTTGCCCTAGTTCTCAAGGAAAAAAATCAAACAATTTTATTTTTAAGATTCGGGTATAAAATATTTAAAAAGAAAATTAAAATGTGCATCTGCACTCTAACGCAGTTTGCTTAACACTAAATCATTTAGTCTAAATCAGGGTCAGCCAGACTGAGAGTTGACCTCGCTTACAATTCGCACGCATCCGGGGCTCTGGCCAATCAAATTCTATTTGGCGTTCTATCCTTGTTCTTTTCACGCGGGTATTGAACAGCCGTCCTTTCCAGTGCGGTCGGACTTGGATTTGCAAGCACTGTATATTGTAATTTGTGGGTTGTCTTCTACGGCGAACATATATGAAAAACCTATATACATACATATACATACATATACAATGTATATTATACATACGTAATATTATTACATATTTATATATTAGGGTGATTAAAAAAATCTACTATTATTTTTTTGGACTTATGATATTGAAAAACTGGTTGCTTAATAGTAATAGTAAAATCCTCCTCATCGCAATTTTTTGTTTTTACATTTATCTATGAAAAAAACGTTATATCTCACTAACAAATAAATATAAAGTTAAGCCGAACAAACATTCTAGATAGAGAATTGAACGCACAACAAAAAAGCCATCTTATGTTTTTTTCGTAAACCTAGTTATTTAAAAGATATCTGGGGTCAAAATTTAAAGTTTTGAAAAACTATTATATTATAAAAACTATTATATTATATTATATAACTAGCAGGATGGTTAAGATTTTAAAATGAGTAGTAGATATTTTTGTTGAAAATTAACTGATCTACTAAAAAGGTTTCTTTAGTCTTTTTAATAAAAATGTAAGCGTTAACACGAAAATTAAAAAAAAATGTGATAAATTTTACAATAAAAAATATTGGAATAGTTTCATATTAGCTAATAGACCCCTGATTTATTAGGGTGGTATTTAGGGTATTTTCGATTTTTTCTTCACGATAATCCTAAATTGGTTCCAAATGAAAAAAATTCTGCGAAGTTTCAGCTCTTAATATTAATATTAACCTGGCCCAAACGACAGTCAAAGTTTTCAATGGGAAAAATGTATTTTTTTTTAAATAAACATTGAATTTTTATAGCTTTGGTAATAATTGATGAAATTTTTTAAAATTTAGAACAAATTTAGTTCCTTATATAAATATGATGTATATAAAAGTACATTAAACATCTTATTATTTTAGATTTTTCTTGTTTATATGGGCACTAATAATAATGTCTCAAAAGTCGGCATTGCCAAATATCGAAAAACAATGTTTCTCAATTATCTTGTAAACTGTTGATTTTACGTAAATTTTTGTGATAGTTTAATTAAATTTTGTTCCTTGGGACCATAAAAATGCTCCCATATAAATTTCAGCAGCGAAAAACGGGTCTTTGGACCTGAACATACAAAATTTTGTCCTTACAAGATTCATGAATAAAATGAGGATGATTTTCATCAGCGACTGGAGTTTATGAGAATTTGCTTTTCAACATATGTTTTTCAGTCGATTGTACTTTTTTTCTTAACTGTCAATCGCCATAATTGTCGCTACTGGTCAGATCTAAGGGTTTACCTCACTCAAACCCAAAAACCTAATGTCAGCTATTTTGGGAAATCGTCTGCTTGGACCCATAACGGACGATACGTATTGAAAATGACGACTGCTATTTGAAACACCATTTAATGTTCTTACAAGATTGAGTACCTCGACACTATGCACTACATAGGTATTAGAGATTTTTCGATCAAGTGTTTCCTGGATAATGCTTTGTACAAATAACTCTGGATTCTCCTCTCCTCTGCCCTTAAATAACTTCCCAAATACTTCAAAATGTTGGAGGGTGTTTTCAAAATTTTTGCAGATATTTTGAGTAATTAATATGTACATAGATAATAAATTTTGTTTCAATGTTTTACTATTACTAATTTTTAATCTAAGATAAATTCCTTATCTGTACTTTTTTATTTGAATAAGAAACGAAGTGCGATATTGCAACTTTAATTTTAAATATCTCGAAAATTAATTAATTTTAATGTTTTTTCATGATTCTTAAGGGAGCAAGACCTTTTAAATAAAGTTTTACTTGGCCTATTACTTTGAATAAAAAACCTCCGGAAGGACCCTGCCGAATCTCGTTAATGTAATAAATTTACGACGGAAGTCGTCATTTTAGTTGTCCGATTATGAGTCATTTTTTCTGACAGATGACAGTTGTGTTTGTGTAATAGCGTTTTTTGTTGTTGTTTTATAGGGCTTATTATTTGTTCTATGCGTTTTGTTTTTTAATAATTAAACCTTGCAAAGAATTAAACGTTATAGCTGGCGGAAACGTTAGTCCGACATTTGTGGCGACCAATTGGTTAGCCCCCCTGTGCGGTCAGCTATTTTCTATCATTTACTCCTTCCTGAGGTTTTTTATTCAAATATTATGCCATTTAAAATTTCAGGGGTTGTGACAACTGTGCGAAGGGATAAAGCGATTTGCAAGTGAAATGTATTATAAAAGATCGAATGCCCTGTATATTCTTCGTAATAACAAGAAATACTACGTAATAGAACGAAATAACAGGTAATAGCATTAGACACATGTTATTTCCTAACATTAATATGGAGTAATAATTAATACGTAATACCCTCATGGCGCGCGTAAGGTTTGATATTCCGTTTTTGAACCCAAGTAAAGTGTTAAAAATGCGTATTTATTTTCTGTCAAGTTAACGGACGATAAATTTCGAAAATTATTGATTAAATTAACTCAAAACTAGATTATTCAGGGCAAAAATATTACAAATGTTTCAAAAAAATTTATTTTTTTGCACTCCTATTTTCCTATTTTACCTAAATTAACAAAACGCTGCACATTACTATCAAGAGCGCGTCAAAGGCTTTCGACAATGCCACTTACCGGTGGAAATGGCATGTTCTGATTGGCTTACTGAAAAGTAAGGTATATCCTGCATAATTTTAATTTTTTTTTAAAAAGTAATAAAAATATTTTTACAATTTCTCAAGGAATAAAAGGTTATTCGGTGACCACTGTATAAAGTTAAATTACTTAACTTTTAGAACTTTGACACCCTTAAATTGAAAATAAAAAAACAAACTCAAACGTATCAAACATAGCGGATGAGAATACCTATTTATAGACAGGTAGCTTTTATTTAAATGAAATTTTGTTATTTTATAAATTTTTTAAAATATATTTTTTCATTCTAGAAAAATAAAATGTACTTCAAACTTAAAAAAATTAATAATGGTAATTAGCAAAATTAAAACAAATATACTCGGTCTTTAACATTTGCAACATAATTTATAACGCGATTATAATTATAATACTATTTATAAATGGTTTTTCTAAGCATAGCAGGCAGTCTTTCTTGTCACACATTCCAAAACGAGCTTAGAAGGAGTTTTTCATTGCAAAACTCGCCTTTGGATCGTTCTGCAAACTCACATTTATTAAAAAAGCTCTTCTGTGCAAGTTAAGGACAGTATTTTTCTCACAACATGAGGAAAATGCGAGTTGTTCGAATCGAGGAAAGGCGAAGTCGAACTTTTGCCACATCGTTAAGTAAATGTCTTTTTCTATGTGTATACCAGGGTGGAAGAAGGAGGTGATACATCTCTATCCCGGAAAGCGGCCAAATAACTCAGTATTTGTTAAAATTCTCAATAGATGGCGCATTGACGTGGAACCTGTTTTAATCCCGGTGCACAACAAACTTTTCCCATTTTTAGTAAAATTGCATAGATTAACTTCAAAGAATAGACCACTAAGCGTAATTAAAATTCAAATGAAACCATTTCAACGTCACTTTTGTGCGTTTGTGGCGACTGTGCATTTTGGCAGAACAGTTGGCAATCGTTCTGCAAATTATTATAATAATGCTGTAAGAAAAGATGTAATTTTCGTTAAGGAGGGTAGAAGACTCTCCTTGAGTTAGTTAGTTATCTTATAATTTGTTGTTAAAAGTTAAGTTGTTATAGAATACCTATATGGATTTCGTTGGTAAAACCTTAGGTTCTTAGTTAACTCGCCATCTAACGAACAACGAACGAAATACTGACTTATCTGGACGCTTGCTTCTGTACTGTAGAGATGGGAGCTATATCCACCCTGGTGTATACCATAATGGGCACACTATTTTTCCTCGGGCGAAAAATGATGTTTTATGACATCAGTTCCTTAATATATCTAATATTATTCTCTTTAATGTAGAAAAAGTCGCTAGTTTTCTACACAGTTGTCATTGGTAAAGTACACAGTATAATCAAAAATTTGACAGTTTCCGAAAAAGTTAAACTAATTATTATTAATAAATAATAATATGCCCACTAGACTTTGACCGAAATCATCCCGTTGATAAATGACTTAGTTCAGTTTTAAGTTTTTAATAATTTACACCATGAAAGTTTTCTTATTAATATTTTAAAATATGGCCCGGAAAATTATTTTTGTATTGTTCAAACCGGTCGCTGTAAAATAAGTGAGAAATTACTAAATGGTCATTAAAACTAAAATGGTGTTTACTTTCAAATTTAACATTAATATTACTTAATACCATAATATGGTGGAAGAAATCCATATTAAATGCTCCATAACAGTCAAAATAAATTAAAATGTTGCGCGACCATCGTCCAACCTGGCATATAAAGGGTGTCCCATTAAGACCGCCTATTTTAAATTTTGTGTCATTTTTTTTGTGTCAATCGTACAGCGTTGTTGTTGGACAGTGGTCATGTGTGAACATTGAGGTTAAGTCATGGAGATTTACACGGACGCACAACGCATAGAAATTGTAAAAATCCACTATCGAAATGTTGAGAATTTTTCGGAAACGGTTTGAAGATATCGTGGATTTTTCGGTTACCATAACGCACCTTCTCGCCGTACTGTGGTCCGATTAATCAAGCAATTTGAAACAATTGGGTCAATTCAAACCAAAAAGAGACATGTCCGTGTTCGTGAGGCTCCATCTGCCGAAAATATTGCAGCAGTTAGTGAAAGAGTTGAACATAATTCTTCCACCTCGATTCGCCACCGTTCCCAGCAATTGAGACTCTCTCGAAGCAGTTTACAGTGAATTTTGGCCAAAGACCTGCATTTTGATGCGTACAAGATTCGGTTGACACAATATTTAAAGACAGCAGACCATGCACAGCAACGAAACCATGGAATTATTGAGGACAAAATTTGAAGGCAGAGTTATCTCGCGCCGCGAGGATGTGATGTGGCCAGGCCGATCATGCGATTTGACGCCGTTAGATTTCTTTCTTTGGGGTTTTTTAAAGGAAAAGGTTTATGCTAATACCCCAAGAACAGATCCTAATTTAAAACATGAGATTCGTCGGGTCATTGATTAAATGAGCCGGCACTATTCCAAAATGTAATCGAAAATTTTGTCAAAAGAATCAACGTGTGCCGTCAGTCAGGAGGCGGCCATTTATCGGATATTGTGTTCCATATTTAACCTCCATGTCTTCCCTCTTTATTGCAATAAAAATATCTTAACTTTTTAAATAAACACGGCATTTTTTTTAAATTTTAAAATAGGCGGTCTTAATGGGACACCCTTTATTTTCCGAGCGTGTTATAATTATAATAATAAGATAGTAGACACTTATTATTTATATTTATTAGTCAAAATCCAGGAATAGGCAGAAACACCTTATGATTTTTTTAAATTAGATTTTTATTCATATGTCGTAAAATTAATTAAAGTTTAATTTAAAATATATTTTAGCTTTGAAGCTAATGAACATTAAAAACCCATTTATTTTTTATGCTGTACTGTATTTACCTCATTTACGTGCATTTTAATTATTGACAAGGAATTTATTTTCACTAACAAGTCAAGTAAAAAATAATGAATACGTTTGTTATGCTTAATTGTACAGTATCTTTATCATACTTACAGTATCTTCATCATTATTTTTAAATTACCTTTATTTTGTATTTGTTTCACATGTTCATTATTATTATTTAAATTTAAATATTTTCCCTTGACACAAACGGCAGGAAATTCCTGCTGTATATTTTATTTTAATAAAAACCAATTTCGTCGAATAGTTAAATAAATATAGTAGGTACTTTTTATTTTACTTACAAAGTACATTATAGACCAGGCGGAGAAATCACATATTATCGCCGAGCATACATTTCACTTTTTCTTTTCAAGCGTATAATAATTTTCATATTTGAAAATATACTTTTTTTTAAGCATTTAATTTAATATTTAATTTTAAAACATCAATTTAGGTTCTACTGACCCTAGACCAAACCATGGTGTGGTCTAGGCTACTGTCCTGGTGACATTTTTGTACGAAGTTTTATAATAATTTTACTTTTGAACTAGTATTAATATAATAGTTATTTACGTAACAAGTAGGATAGTATCCTACGTGTTACGTACAACATTTATCTACAACTAATACTATTATTATTTTAATAAATATTTGAGTAAAAATAAAAAGTTTAAAAATTAAATACAGGGTGCAGGTAATAAGAATTTATATTACCTACGATTGTGAATAATGTTCTTCTGTCAGTCATTGTCAAAGCTGTGTGGAAATTTCACATTTAAAATGAGTTCCAGCAATTATCTGCCATCTGATATTGAGAAGGAAGTTTTTAATGTTGTTTTGCATCTGGTGCCAGCTAAATCACGAAAGAAATACCAAAAAGCTTTTGATCGGTACGAAAAATGGTGCAATGAAAAAAAGATAATCACTTGACAGGATTATTAGTATATTTCAACGAATTAAGCAAAACACAGAAGCCCTCATCTCTTTGGTGCTATTACTAGATGTTAAAAACAGAAATTTCATATAATCTTATACCTTGAGCTTAATTTAAGATATTAACACACTAGTGCGGTAATAAATTCAAAAAAACACTAGTGCGATAATAAAAGTTATTATGACATTTAAGGAGTGTCTAATCATAGTCATTACATGACAGTGGTAGATAATAGTTATTTATGTATTAAGGGCATAATAAGGTTTTTATGGTCCGAGGCGCTATTTCGAGCCCGAGCGCGTTAGCGCGAGGGCTAGAAAAGCGTCGTAGGACCATAAAAACCAGTTATGCCAGCAATGCATACAAAACTTTATGCACGATTAATATAAATATATAATTATTATTATTTTTAATATATTATTGTTTTTAAAGACGTTTACGTCAAAGAATTTTTGTTATAATTGTCATATTATAATGTCAACTGACATCAGTCAGTTTTAATGTTTAAAGATGAATGAAATTGAGGAAGCAGCTGAAAAGGCGAAAAATTGCGGCCTGCTGCCGGAAAAATCAAAATCTTTATACGAAAAAACTTACTTCGAATATATCAAATGGTGTAACATTGTTGTTTTTAATTTTTGACGTTTCATTATAGCCCGCTGGGTCATAATTACGCCCGCGGGCTATAAAAAGACGTTTACGTCAAAGAATTTTTGTTATAATTGTCATATTATAATGCCATCGTGCATAAAGTCTTTTTATATAGACTGATGAGTGTTAAATAACAACAGATAGGTGTCGCTGTAGTCAAATTCAATATTACTTAATTAATCCCGGCGCATTCGCCATTATTTCCAACAAAAGGCCATAGACAAAGGATTGGTTGGGTGGGCGAGGGGTTAGCCAAGCGGCCTCAACAGCTTGTTTATAGAGTATATTTATATTTATGTCATAATTCATATTCATAACATTCAGGATAACTCCAGGTCACCCGCCTGTTAAATTTTGTATTTATTTCCGTCAATATAACATGTTTTTCCCAGAATATCTCCTATAAAAGCCTGCATATAAACTGCTTCAGACATACTTCATATTCCAGGTTGACAGATTTGTTTCGCTGGGAAGCGGCGAAAGAACTTGAAATTGACTGAAATTGCTGTTTCTCGAAGGGGAGAGAAACGGAAAAATGATTACAAAGGCATCCAAAACGCAAATCGCCACAACAAGTGACACTTTAGCTCCTTATAAAACGTATATGTACTATTTTTACGGAATGTTGAATATTTTACACATTTTTATACATTTAAACATGTATTTTAATTGTAAAATTAAAAAATTGTATTATAAAATTTATTTAATAAAAAACATTTTATTGCTACGATAATTCGCAACTGCAAATCAAACTGGCTGCATTTAACTGTACTTGACTGCGATCCCAGACGCTTGTTGGAAAATTATATTCAGGACAACATTACATTAAATTTTTACAAATAGCTTTTGGTGGAAAATAAAGGTTAAGATAAACCATTTGTGATTCCCCAATCACTTTTTTGGAATATCTTATTACGTTTTCGCAAAATAAAGGCTTCGAGTTTGAATCACCTTGTGCATGAAATATTTTCTTTATATCTCACACTCCATTTGTTTTCGGAAATACCCTTTACATGTACACTTTATACCGTATTTTCATTTCATTCGGTTTTTAATTCAGTAATAGACACTTCACCGGTTATGGGTGATAGTCGAAGTTTGCACTGAATTATTCATACGAGACGCATTATTAAGTTAATTTACTTTTAAAAATTAATTCGATACTTAAAATGTAACCTAATCACTTTTAACAGTAAATTATTAATTAAAGGTGTAAAATCATTATTTGTTTTTCATTTAACTAAAATTATTTTCTTATAAAAACGTTTAAACATAAAAAATTATCTTTAAAAACTAAAATAAAAATAAATTTAAATAAATTAATTAAAAACGTTTGTTATTGTTCTAATTGACGGAATTGAAAGATCCGGATATTTAACAGAGAATAGGTACCTATCTTAGACCAACTTATCATGTACATTTTCTCTTGCAATGTGTAGGACATTATAACTTATAATTTTAAATAGAAGAAATTAAAACGCTCGAAATACCCACTAGCAAATGCCTACGGCAATCCGCTGACAATGGGGCGGGGCGATCGGGTTCACTCGGGTTCACTCGAGTGCATATATTTTAAATGAAAATGCGGTATAAAAGTTGGAGACCTATGTTAAAAAAAACACAAACCATTTTAAAAAAATTATCTTTTAGGGCCCAGTATTGATGTACCCGCTCCAGACATGGGTACCGGCGAGCGTGAGATGTCTTGGTTGGCGGATACGTATTCGAAAACCATTGGTTACAGGGACATCAACAGTCACGCCTGCGTAACCGGTAAACCGATCAACCAGGGTGGTATTCACGGTAGAGTGTCGGCTACCGGTCGCGGTGTCTTCCATGGTATACAAAACTTTATCAATGAGGAGAATTACATGCAAATGATTGGATTGAAAACCGGCTGGGAGGGCAAAACTTTTATCGTTCAAGGTTTCGGTAATGTAGGCTTGCACACTATGAGATATCTTCACAGAGTCGGTGCTAAATGCATTGGTATTATTGAGCATGATGGTTGTATTATCAATGAAGAAAAAGGTATTGACCCCAAGGTAAGACATATTTAAAATTTAAATTAATTATCTAGTTTATTTTACAGAAAGAAAATATAAAAGAGCATTTTCTGGTAATTATTAAATTGTTACTTATCTATATAATTTTACTTCCTATTCTATAATTTAACATAAATTGTAATTATATTATTTCAGTCTGGGTAATATGTGTATAGCAAAATAACATATATGTATATTTTGACCTTTTAGATCATTTACACTTTTCATGCGTTTTAAAAAACTTACTGAATAACGAAGTTACTTACAAATTTCTAGTTTTTGTTCACATATTTTTAGGGTATATAGATAATTTTATAATTACCAAAAAAAATTGAATAAATTTTAATCATTTCACAACTAAAATAATACCCCACAATAATAAATTATCAAATTGTATTTTGTGAAATTGCTTTTATTTGGCAAAACTAGTGCTCCTTTTTACTTTTTTTAAATTAATGAGAATGGCTAGGCCTTTAGTTTGTGAATAATATTGGCACATATGTTTTTCTTACCTTGTCAACCCGCACGCTTTGCTACTTGGAAATTTTAACCCAATGTATTGATAATATAGATCACTATAAATATATGTATCTGGTTAAACAGATTATTTATAAAAAATTCTGGGTACCCAACGTTTTTATAGTTTTTTAAAACCCTATAATGCAATTCAAGTTATGTTAGTTTTGTATTAAGGTAGATCTTCTCAGAAATTTAATGGTACCCATAATTCAAAATATGCAATTTTTGACCTGTATTTTATTGTATTGATGATATGTATGATGCCACTGTGTTTTTACCTATGATCGTAATTTAAGGATCTCGAGGACTACCGCGTAACCAACGGAACCATCGTGGGATTCCCTGGAGCTAAACCATACACGGGAGAAAATCTTATGTTCCACAAAACCGATATTTTGGTGCCAGCTGCTGTTGAAAAGGTTATCAACAAAGATAATGCCCATAAAATTCAAGCCAAGATTATTGCCGAAGCTGCCAACGGTCCATTGACCCCAGCAGCTGACCAAATTCTTCTCAAGAAAAACGTACTCATCATCCCTGATTTATACGTAAATGCTGGTGGTGTGACTGTTTCGTTCTTTGAATGGTTGAAGAACATCAATCACGTTTCCTACGGAAGATTGACCTTCAAATATGAAAGGGATTCTAACTACCACTTGTTACGTAAGTAGTAGTAATACTGTAACAAAAATATTAATTTGTTTTCATTAAGCAACTAAGCTAGGATTGTGTTTTCTCACCTTTTAAGCAAAAATAGACAAGCGCAGTATTTACGGTTACAACATTTTATAAAAGACACAAATTTTATAACGTGTTTTTTATTTCATTCAGAGTCGGTTCAGGAGTCGTTGGAAAGAAAGTTTGGCGCAGAGCAAGGAAATATTCCCATTCTACCATCAACTACTTTCCAAAAGAAAATAGCCGGTGCTTCTGAAAAAGATATTGTCCATTCTGGTTTGGAATTCACGATGGAAAGATCCGCCAGGGTAAGTCAAACCGTATTTTATTTTGGGACTATGATTTATGATTTATTCTAGCGTTTATTAATTTTCTTGTAATGAATTTATATCTAGTATTTATATACAGGGTGTCCGGGAAAAGGAGGTCAATCCGTTAACCATATATTCTTTGAGTTAAAACAATAAGACTTTCATAATACCATTTTTCAATTTAGAGCTTCATGTTCGATATACAGGGCGACAAAGTTTGAAATTTAAAACTGATTTTTTTTAATAATCCAAGTAATTGATAAGATATTAAGTTTTAATTCGGTACACTACTTCAACATAAATAGTTACATTTTTTGAGACCAACAAAACAAAAAACAATTGTCAAATAATCAAAATAGGGGGGTCCAGTACTCACTGAATCCCCCTATTTTTTAGTACGTGCGCCAATGACTTCCAAACGGTATTTTTTCAGGTAATCATTTATTGTTGAAAATTTTTTGTCTCTTATAAAATTTTGATAAAATGATTTGTTTTAGAGATAATTTGTAAAGTATGGGTCAATCCATCTCAAATTTTTGAAATTTAATTTTTTTTTTGAAAAAAATTAGGTCATGTGATATATCATAAAAAGGGTCTCTAATAGGCCTTTAAAATAAGCCATCACTCATCTTTCTACTTTTAATAGTTTACGAGATATCGCTATTTTTGTAAGTACTTGCAAAACCCAAATTTATCGGAATTTTTTGATTTTCAAAAATCAATAAAACAAAAACCACTATGAAATTTTTGAGTTTTTTAGTGAGGTAAACAAATTTACCAAAAATTATCAAAATCGGAGATGGTGGGGGAAGAACCTTTGGTTGATTTGATATGGACTGACCCATACTTTACAAATTATCTCTAAAACAAATCATTTTATCAAAATTTTATAAGAGACAATTTTTTTTTAACAATCAATGATTACCTGAAAAATACCGTTTGGAAGTCATTGGCGCACGTACTAAAAAAAGGGGGAGTCAGTGAGTACTGGACCCCCCCTATTTTGATTATTTGACAATTGTTTTTTTGTTTTGTTGGTCTCAAAAAATGTAACTATTTATGTTGGAGTAGTGTACCGAATTTAAACTTAATATCTTATTAATTACTCGAATTATTAAAAAAAATCAGTTTTAAATTTCAAACTTTGTCGCCCTGTATATCGAACATGAAGCTATAAATTGAAAAATGGTATTATGAAAGTCTTATTGTTTTAACTCAAAGAATATATGGTTAACGGATTGACTTCCTTTTTCCGGACACCCTGTATACAAATGAGCCTGTAAAAAAATAATTTCAAAATTAAGATCGCACTTTTCGATTTTCCATAAGAACAACATGGGAAAAATTATTTTTGATCTGATTTTTGTAATTAACGAACGATAGGTCGTACTGTAAAGTTCCTGACATATTTTTGCAGGGAATTGAACGCTCTGCAAAAAATGTTTCTTATGATTTTTTGATAAATTTGATCCTTCTAAAGTAACAAACTTTTTTGGCGAGTCTAACCGACTCATTTAACCCTCCGTCGGGCGCAATACTAAAGTTGCGAGTTCGGGCGCAATGCATCTACCAGATGGTTATATAAAAATGTTTTGTTTACTATAAATAAATGAAATAAAAATAGATTTTAAACAGGATTTTGAAAAAGACAAGAGTTTTATACAAGTATTTATTAAATTAACACGTCTTAGAATAAATAGAAAAAAAAACGAAACAAGAACAAATAATTATTAATATTAAAATAATAAAAAACAAAACTTAATCTTCTTCAACCACTTCATTACTATCACTAGCATCAAATTTCGAATGATAGCAGTTCTCACATACGATTGTCGCGTGTTCCAAGCATAAATATTTGGCACAGTTCTGGCAAAAGTATTTCGAATACCTCCGTTTTTTATTTTCTAGACATGGTCCACAGGTTTTCCTTTTATTTGTTAAAGCTGCAGCTGAATTTTCATCTTGCGAGTCCTCAGTAGGATTGAATTGTTGCAAGTTTTGTTTTAGGTTGGAGGGTATTCCCCGTTTTTTTATTGCTCTTCGATTTAGATGTTCATCAACCAACTCCCTGCTAAGTTTTTTCAAAAAGTTGCGCCTTTTTTCTGTGGCAATTCCATTTCCTGTGAGCAAAACTTGAGAATTTATACCACTAATATTGAGCATTGTAAAAAATACAACTAATGGCCATCTTCTTGTATTTCTTTGCAAATTGAAAGTTGCACACATTTGGTCGACTAGGTCGACCCCTGCTTTTGTCTTATTATAATAAGTTATTATGTTAGGTTTTAGGTTATCACCTGTAGCCGCGTCGATAGAATCATCAAAATGCATACTGGATATCAATATTACGTTTTTCCCTTTTTTTGGAACATAAGAAACAATCGTAGCATTTTTTTGAAATCCAAATAAACTAGACTTCTCTTTTCTGTTTTTTGTTGCAACAAATTCTAAGGGAAGCGCACTTTTATTTTTTTTAACTGTCCCAACATAGGACAACTTTTTTTTCTGAAGGAAATCTACGAGTTGAATGTCCGTAAACCAGTTATCGGCTGTAATGTTACGCCCGGTATTATATAGAGGTTCTGCAAGCCTTTTGACTATATCAGATGGTTTATAACTAATTTGAAATGGCCCGTCTGGCTGTTTTCCTGGGTAAATTTCCAAATTATAAGTGTACCAAACTTTGGAATCCACCAGTGAAAAAATTTTTATACCATATTTATTTGGTTTAGAGGGTATATACTGACGAAATGGGCATTTTCCTCTAAAACCGGCAAGCATTTCATCAATAGTAACATTGTTTCCAGGCGAGTAATTTTTTTTACAATTTGTAACAAATAGGGTAAAGATTTCGCGTATGGCAGCCAGCTTGTCCTGTTTTCTTCTTTCTTCGCGACTTCTTTTGTCATCAAAGCGGAGGCAACGCAGCAAAAACTTAAAGCGCTTTAAATTCATCACAAGGCGAAACATCTCAACTCCATACCCATCTTCTCCCCATAATTCTTCCAAACTTTGCCTGTTACTGCGAAGTACGCCTGCAAGGTAGAGCAGCCCTACAACTGCTTTTAGCTCAATCACATCTGTAGGTTTTGCATCTCGTTCACGTGAAAACTGTGATTTAATACTCTCAATATATGTATTGGTGTATTGAACAATGGTTTCCAATATTTCGTCACTCATAAAATATTTCCAGCATTCGGAAATTGTTTTGGCCTCTCTGGCAGATCCTATGACCCCTGGGAGACGAACTAATATGTTTTGAGGTCTATGTTTCACTCGATAGGTAAACTTAGTTTTTTTCCATTGGGTCTCTTTGTCTTTTCCTATAAAGTAATCCGCATTTTCTTCATACTCAGACCTATCAGAACTATCGTCAGAGCCCTCTTGACAAGTTTCGGAGTCTTCATCCCGTGTTTCAACTTGGTCCTCATCATCGGTGTCAGTTTCGTCTTCATACTCAACTTTATCGTTGTCACTGTCCGATTCCATCCACATTTGCAGCAAAACTTCAGCATCTTTAGGATTGTCAGGGTTATAAGTTTGTCTCCTATTCATTTCTAGGCGAAAAAGCTGAAAAACAAATGAATATATCATGATCGGACGCAATAAATCTGACAGATTATTTTTAAAAATAGGCAACTATTATTCAAATTATGAATCCAAATATTGTACTTACATCTTACTTTAACAAATTTGCAAACCACAACAATAGACAAAACACTCAAATTTAAATTTAAAAATTTATCGGGAACGGGCGCAATGCATCTGAGAGATTAAAGTTATTGTCACGCACGACGTGTTATCACTTCGACGCCACAACTTCGACTGTCGATAGTTTACGGATAGACAGGAGGATACACGAACGGCAAGTCGGCGGGCGCAAATACAAGGGAAGATATTTTAAAATATATGGACAAAAATCTAATAGATTCATTGCGCCCGACGGAGGGTTAAAAAAAAGTGGAATATTTTTGTAGGGAATTAAACGCTCTACAAAAAAGGTTTAAAGTCATTTTTCGGGTAGTTAACTTGGTTAAAAGTTATTCAAGGTTAATGTGAAATTAACCGTCAATTAGCCGTTTTCTCGAAAAAAACTCAAGGGCTAAAAACGAATCGAAATATTGTTTTTGATCTCTGGAAATTCTAAAAAAACAACTATTGATATAAGGATCTCGAAAAGCTTCAAAATTTTACAGTAGAAATATTTTTAAACGATTTCAGCCAAAAGTTTTTTTTGGAAAAACTTCTGTTACAATTTGATTAAAATAATCTTAAAATTCCAGAAAAATTCAAAAAATTTTATTAATACCTATATTTTTGCATGAGTTGTGTTCAATAACCCTGCAAACTATTTATGGAACTTCCTGCTACTTTTGGACCTTTCTTGTAGAGTGTTTAATTCTCTACAAAAAAATGTCAAGACCTTTACAGTACGACCTATCGTTCGTTGGTTACAAAAATAAGAATAAACGAAAATAATTTTTAGAATAACCCTGCAAACAATTTATGGAATTTCCTGCTACTTTTGGACCTTTTTTGTAGAGCGTTTAATTCTCTACAAAAATATGTCAAGAACTTTACAGTACCTACGACCTATCTTTCGTTAGTTACAAAAATCAGAAGAAACAAAAATAATTTTTCCTATGTTATTCTTATGAAAAATCGAAAAGTGCGATGCGGAGCATCTTAATTTTAAAATTAAGAGCTCATCTCTTTACAGGCTCATTTTTATATCTAAACGAAACTTTTAAGCGTGGTTCCGAGAAAAAAAAACAAAAAAATGTTTTTTTTTAATCATCCTAATATATATTTTTTTGAAACACTAATATATAGATATTAGTGTTTCAAAAAAATCGTTTTTCTTCTTTTTTTTTAAAACATTAAAAAATCGATAGAGTATCCCTACACGTAGTCTGTTAAAATATGAGCTTTTAATATCAATATTTAGAGGTCGATCATCGCAATTTTCTATTTTTTATTTAGGTATCACAGGAGAT